GCCAACGCGCGGCCGCGTTATCGCAGGTGACGCCGGGCTGCTGCGCCGGCAGTCCGCCACAAAGCCTCGTACTGATCGCGCGTTTCTCTCATTATTGTATTTTCATATATTTGTTAGTCGTTTGTTTTGTGTCTCGTTAATTTGTTAATAATCTGTAGTGTATCGTGTTGTCGTAATATAGAACTATTTCTCGTATTGTTTCGTTTAATTTTTTATATCCAGTAAACTCCAGTCGTGCGTCGGAGCGGACACACACACTTTTTTTTTTGTGTTTTTTATGTATCTTTAGCTTGTGATGTGTATTGTGAGCCTAATAAAATAAATAAATAAATTAATTAAAATCTCGCGCTTCTTATTTGTTCAAAATTAAAAAATAAAACAAAAATCTTATGTGTGAACATTATTTCCTGAACAATACATTTTAGCATCTAAGTGGTGTTCCGAGAAAATATATGAGGTCGATGTGAGAGTCTCCTCGGTCAGTCACCCTGTTAAAAAAACATACAGCAAATACGTATTATAGCGCGACAGTATAGAGGTTCCGATGCTTTTTGGAGTTTAGTGCTATTTAATTAGTATTAGAAAAAAAAACTGAAAAAAAGTATTTAATGTAGTGGCCAGATACTGTGTTCCGTCATCTCAATTTTGCATCCAATTAAATATAACAATTCCTCTAAATACATAATAGTATAGTTTTGAGGTAAACAGTGATTGTTCGTTACGTTTTTATGAGTTTATTACGGATCCCTAAATATTCAAGGGAAGATGATTTGTCGTCCCGATTCACAGTATCGTCAGACAGTAATCGCAGTAATGGACGATCTCCGTGAATATAATCGGACACTCGATTAAATTCAGTGCAACGACTCGACGTCCTAGAGGTCGGATGTGGAATTAGTAAAAGAAATTCTGCTTTAACGCCACGTATAAGAAAAAAACATATTATAAAATTGCTCGTGAAGATTTCAATAAAATTGTTCCTGTAAACTTCTATTACATTTTTAAATCAGTTACTGCTGCGAAAAGTGATTTCATAACCAAAATAATTGTATTTAAACAACAATGAATACGCTGGTATTTTCTACGATGAAGGTGAGTAAATATATCGGATATTTAGCAGTGAAATTCACTTAACTACAGGGAACTGTGAATCGAATGCTATTTTATCACCTACTAGCGAAATCCGGCCATGCTTCGCTGTCAGTCGTGAAATGCTAAATGAAATACGCACATTTGTGAAACTGCTTGTGCTCCCCCTATCCTCCTTTGATATACTCCACAAATATTCTCCATTGTGCAAATAACAACAGCTCAATACAACAACAGCGACCGATTAATGATGCATGAAAGTAATTGTTTATGGTGAACTTTTTTTTTAATTTCTTAATTCAAACGGGATCGGGTTGAAGCCATGGAAAATTTGTTTGTATTTCCTGATATGTTGAACAGCACAGCTTGAATCAGCTGCAATACAATTAGATGGGTAGATTAGAAATCTTCATATTTTCCAAAAACAAATCAAGCGAATGTACATGATCCATGAGCGCAATAAACGGTATAGCGTAGGTTAGGTATAGAGTATTCTCTACCAAGTAGGTAATTGTAATGTATTTAATAATTTTTTTAGATACATTTAATTTATTATAAGTTCCTACGAAGTACGTCGATGATATAATTGACAAAAACCTTCACTGAAATGCTAATAACGCCATGTGATCATGCAAACACACAAAAATTAATTTCTTAATCTTACACGAACCTTAAACCGCAAGCACAAAATATTTTTAAGAGATGGTCTTTTGAGGGAATGATTGTGGTTATTAAATATAAAACGCTTTTCCAGTTCTGGTACCATAATGAGATCCTAGTATCTCTTATGTTTCAATAAAATTACCTCTCTATCTACGTTGTTTAGGTCTGGTCAAGTCTAAGTCGCTGATCATATAGGGCTTTATACCTTTTATTTTACCTACATCTATATATTAATACGTGAAGCAAAAACTTTGTATCCCTTTTTGCGAAAATTGCGTGGACGGCGGAGTATGAAATTTTCCACACTTATACAGAATATAGAGAAGAAGTGCACAATGCTAATATTTTTTTAAAATAATGCATAAAAGATACATTAAATCAATAAAGAAAAAATTACACACACTACATACCATGCATTTGACGCAAACACGCATGCATACTATTTATTGTCAAACTTTTGTTCTTGACGTCCGTTGTCCAATTGAGAATATTGTTTGTCTTTATTAATATTTTTTATAGTGTAGCCTTGGCGAAATTTGTGATTATAGAAGTATAAAAGACAATCATAATAGTGTACAAACATACAATTCCAATTAATTATAGTCGAATTTCGACTACTGCGGGACCTCTAGTATAGTCTTATTACGTTTCAAAAGTACAGATTTTTTTTCATTGTAGCTCTGATATTATGTAAGCATATTCCCAGAGAGATCTAATATAAAAGTACTTTGTGTATACTTTATCATTTTTATTTTGAGGCAAAAGAGGCGCCACGCCGGAGTCCTGGCCGCTCGGAGTCGCTAGGGCGAAATCTATGAAACGTGTTTCTTTTTAATTTTGACATCCAAGTAGACAGTTGACTGGTCAGGTTTTGTAGCCATAAAAAATTACGTACAAAAAGATACAAGAAACCAAAAGCGAATTTTTGATTTCGTTCAACGTTCACGGCCAAGGTCGTCACGCACGGTCGTTTTGCTCAGCTGAGTATCACGATTTACTCAAGTTAATCGCATTTTTTAATCTGATATTAATTTACGTCGCGTTTTTTTTTAAAAGATTAATTGTAGATTTCGTGGACCACGTTTCGCTTAATAGCTTCGTTTTTTAGAGTATTTTGAAACTGGCTAAGCAACAGAAATAATGTTCATATGTCATTTACATTCGTTTTGTGTTTCAATAGAAACACGTTCGAAGGTCATGATTTCTGCGTTTTGTCTGAATTTAAGTCATACTTACATATTTTATCATTTCATTATAGATTATTATTTGTATTGGCCAAACATAATGTGTTCATTAAAATGATGATCACAGCGGCTAATCAGAAACACGTTGAGATAATACCCTATAAATCATGATTATCAGCCATAAAATAGGGGCTTCTTATCGAATACATACGCCAGTAATTACTTAAAGCAAATTATGATTAACTACAATCAAAATGGATACCTTTAGTTTTCCTGTAGCACTGAGAAATGTTTTGAAATGTGACTCATAAGATGAATGTGGAACAAACAAATAATTTAATTACTCAACTATTCTCGTTATAAAAAAAATATAATATAATAAAAAAGCTTTATTTATTCCATAAAAAATAATTGACACTTAATTACAAACAATTTGAGTATACATTTATGGATTAAAAGGTTAGTTTCTGATATAAATTTATTGTTGATTATTATTTACATTATTTCTGTACGGCCCCCCTCCGAAGCCACACCACTTCTTTCTATCCCTGGCGATGTTCAGCTAATCTTTACCAGCCACTGTTACAATTTCGTCTACCCACCTGACGTACGGGCGGCCTTTAGCTCTTTTTCCTCGTAGACCTGTCCATTTTTTTCCCCTACCTATGCTGATAGCCTTGAGAGGCAATTTCAGCTTCTCCTTGACGTGTACGTGAGCTCACGGGGCTCTAACCGGGAGTGTTGCTAACACTGGCCCTAGCAAGAGCAGTGCTTCGCAGAATCTACCACCGAACTGTCCACTATAACTACTATTCTCCTTATGGATAATTATAATATATCCTAAATGTTGGTTTTTTGATACAATAGCTCGATACTGTACTGCATTGGGAATTGTTCCGGACAGGCGCATTTCTTTCAAATACCTACTAGTAATAGTAACCTATTTGTTTTTAATTTGATTTTATTAATATACACATAGTTTATTGTGTGCGTTTTAGTTTCAATTTTAATATTTTGGAACAAATAAAAGAAATCGACATTCTAAAACAGAGATTAGTGTATTACTTAGATGTTGTAAATCAGAAAATTTGTTACATTCATCGAGAACATTTGTTACCCTCTCACGCAAAAACTATTGGCGGGATTATGATGAAACTTGACAATGAATCGCTTATACATTACATTAATACGGAAGTATAATATAGTACAATCAACGTACGAGTGATAACGCGCCAGTTGTTTAAAGAAATTAATGTTTTTCATTCAATTACTGATTTTTACATAGTGATCAGGTTTCATTTATATATTTAACATACTTTTATTAGCTTGGTATGTATCTTTGTTTGTATATAACGGAATCTTTGAACGTCATTTGCACTGACACTAAGAGCACTTATTAGCTTGTAGATTTGCACATGCATAAAGGACTGATAACAATACAATAATTTTAATTTCGCTCTAATATCCTGACCTGTATTAACGGGATAAATAAAAGATGACATTAATTGTTAGTTCAATTTGCTATTTAAGCGTGTGTTTTTTTAAACCACATATGTTATAGAGTATAGATAGATAGATACGATTTCGTCCAGTCTAATCTGAGTAATATGTTATATAAGATAGGTTATCATAGTCTCTACTTGTGTAAGTAAGCTCGCGTCGAATTCTATGCGATAAGTAAGAATAAAATCTATACATATAAATAAAATTGGAGTGTCTGTTTGTAATATTGAAATAACCGCTTTTTGCTACATACATATGAATATATATATGGTACACACACCAAAATTACATTTTTCACAATCTTTGTCTGTCTGTTTGTTCCGGCTAATCTCTGGAACGGCTGGACCGATTTTGACAAGACTTTCACTGATAGGTAGCTGATGATATAAGGAATAACTTAGGCTACTTTTTTAAGACTAAATTCGCCCCACGGCGTCACCCGCGGTACGAGAATAACCGGGCGTAACATCGCGGGACTCAGCTATCAATAATAAAATTAAATGTTTCCGAAGCGAAGCGAGGGCGGGTCGCTAGTTTATTAATATATTGTGATGTTCTCAGATGTGTGTGCGCATATGGCTAGAAGTGGGGCACGCGTGCGAACCGCGGCGCTCCGCCCTCGGCCGGGCGCTGGCGTTGGACTGGCGCGTGTGGGTGCGTGGTGCCAATGGACGCGACATCAGTGCTTTCGTTCACAAGATCGTCTTCCGCCTTCACCCCTCCTCGGCTTTTGTTTACCCAAAAAGAGGCAAGGATGTTTAACATTATCACATACCCCCGGACAAGTTCGAGGACTCATTTATATACTTTGTAAGCAAAACCATTCATGTTTTTTTTGTGTAACAATATAATCATTATCGATCAGTCGATTGTGGGTGTCTTTTTCCCCACATTTCATTACTTTTACGAATTATGAGTGCGTGCTTGATCGCTTGTCTNTTTGTTTACCCAAAAAGAGGCAAGGATGTTTAACATTATCACATACCCCCGGACAAGTTCGAGGACTCATTTATATACTTTGTAAGCAAAACCATTCATGTTTTTTTTGTGTAACAATATAATCATTATCGATCAGTCGATTGTGGGTGTCTTTTTCCCCACATTTCATTACTTTTACGAATTATGAGTGCGTGCTTGATCGCTTGTCTACTATGGATCTGTGAGAGTTTTCAAAGCATTAAATGCGAAAATACATAGTCGTTTGTATAATATGTACACAAATACTTGTTTTAGTTGTATTTATCGAGTCTAGTACAGAGCCAATGTATTGACAAAACGAACGGGTTCATTATTTATGTAAATGCTTACATGAATCGACGTCAATGCCGTCTAACTCGTAGAACGTGCATGTTTTTATGTAATTCGATGTTTTTTCACTGTTATTTTTATTTTTTCATCGTCACTATCTTTACATTGATACCCCTAGTCAACCTCGCAACACCTATGACATTATCTCAGTGGCAATACACACTGTTACTTTTTTTTGTCTTACTCTATTCGAACTCGGATCTCGCTTAAAAACGAACTCTTTTTTCCAGTGCTCCAGGAGCCTCCGTACGAGATCCAAGAGTCCGGCTGCGCTTCGATCGAAATACCGATTCAGATATACCTGAAATACAGCAGTCGGCCAAAGAAGATACAACTTAAATACAGTCTTCAGATCGAGAACAACACGAAGAGCAGTTCCGAGTCTCGTTGCATCTACTACGACTTCGAGAAGCCTTCGGAGCAGCTGTGCCGCGCGCTGATGAGCGGCGGAGGTGAGCTGATCGCGCGGGCCAGAGCCAAGCACCTGCTAGAGTTGCTCTCGGGCGCCGGTACCAAACCACCGCGCAAAATGAACACCAACAAGTTCGTCGAGCCGGTCCTCTGCAAGCACGGCTCGAAGAAACGCAGCAAACGCTTCTCGTCGGCATCGTCGTGCCCGAAGTGCGGCGAATCGACAACGGCCGAGATCAGGAAGCAGCTGCGCGCCGTCGAGATGACCGACGACGAGATACTACAAGTGTCGCGCCTGTACATATCGTACACGAGCTACGAGAAGTCGGCGAACGCTCTAGAGCTGCCGCCGCCTTCGGACCCGATATACGCTGTGCCAGAGTTGCCGGCCAGACTCCGCGAGGCCCTCAAAGCGGCCGAAATCGATCGGACTTCTTCACGCGGTGAAGTGCGTTAATGACCAATTTTGTGTATACCCTATAATTTGTCGGTGCCATTTTAAAAGTTCTTCCGCGAACAAGCATCAAGATTTTAATATATTTTTATAGTTAGTTTAATTGAAAATCTATATTTCTCAGAAACTTTTACTGTAGATATAGAAGAAAAAAAGGTTTCATTTTAGTTACTTATGTGTCTATTTAATTTGTCTCGCGACAACGAATGACTGGTGCTGTGAAGAGGATCTCAAGTATTTGAAGAGGTAAACATATACGTATAAATATATTTAATTAGATATATGAAAAAATACGTCAATAAAAAATAAAAATCTAATTTGAATTTGAATGTGCGACGTTATGATTTCGTGTTGTAAATTACGTAAAATAATTTCATTTAATGATTATCCATCTATTTCTATCGTATTATTTTTATTAGTAGGTACCTACCTACATTTTCTAGCCGAAAGATCGCAAAGCAAATACATGGGAACATCGTGCCTTATTTTACGTATTTTAACGACTACATATTGGCAAAATTGTTAATGATTATTCGCAAAAAACGGCAAGAAAATTCCCATTAAAACGTATAATTAATATTTTTAATAAATTTTCGAGGGTTCTATTTATGATGGTAATGTTCAATAAAAAATCAAATGAGTAGCTATCGATTTACGGAAAATAATAAAAAATAAAAAATCATTAGTAAGTGAGGGCTTGTGATATTACTATGAATTATTTTTATTAATATTTGATAGTTTACTTCGTTTTTAGTATTTAGTACTTAGCACAAAGAGTGAACGTTCGTTTTTTATTAAATCGATACCAGAATCAGAGTGCAATAAGTCAAATTTGTTAACAATGTATTTTTTTAAATCAGAAAACTGCTTCAAATCAGGTGCTTATATAAAATAAGTTAATATGGTTTGAAACTGATGTTGAATTTTGACTTGTGTCAGTTTGGTTCTGATGTATTTAATGTAGCTGTTTGGTTCTGATATAGTCAGTTTGTGATTTTGTTGATTATTTCTTTGCTAGTGATTTCACGTTATGTGGTGCTTTTAGTGGTTACGATACGATAATGATCTTTCCGAGAATCAAAATTATTGATTTAATAAGTTTTCGTCGTGATTGCTCCGCAGACTGATTGTAAAAGTGTAATTTATAAAAATATTCTAGTTCCTGCTTCGTTGTTGGATTATAATATAATAATGAAAAATGTCAAATAAATAGGTTAGATTATATTAACAATAAACTATAGCTAAGAAATTGTATGCTCAACCCTGTGGTGCTTTTTTGTATTGTAAATCAACCCTGTATATGCTATTTACAAAAAACGTCTTCCAGATGTACAAACTATTGGAAAAACAATACGAACAGTTGAAGATAAATTTTGATAATTATCTTGTTTTTCTTGAAGTTCTTTAATGTAAAATCACGAATAAGGCATAGTGTCGTTTCTTTGATATCAGCTGACTGATTAAGGAATTAATGTCAAATGTTTAAGCTTTTCTATGGCTTTTGTCGGGCGATTAGTAGTAGGTAATTATAAATGAAATCACTTATCATTGTTCGATTTTAAACTCTTATTTAAATTAAATTAATGATTATTTAATATTTTGTACAAATGAACAACAATCGCAGTTGTGAATGCGTCGAGTGCACAGTGTGTACACGATTTTACGGTAGGCAGCGGCTTGGCTCTGCCCCTGGCATTGCTGAAGTCCATGGGCGACGGTAACCACTCACCATCAGGTGGGCCGTATGCTCGTCTGCCTACAAGGGCAACAAAAAATATATATAATGAACAGGGTATTAGATGTAAGTAAATTCAAATTTATTAAAACGTCATCAGTCATTAAAACGTCATGATGCGACGTTAAAATAACAAAAGTAATAATAGCAAATATATTTAATTGAGCGGTTTACTTGAGCAATGTTGTAATCGGATAATGTTTAGTTGTTAATACTATTGAAATAAATTTTAACAATTTGTTAGATTTATTTTTTTGTTTTGCACACCACCTTTTAGATTTTCAGTATCAATTTGTATCATGATAATAATAAATTTATTATTCACATCATCATCATCATCATCATCTCATCCTGTCCACTGTCCACTGCTGAAGATAGGCCTCTGCAACTGATCTCCAGCACGGCCGGTCCGTTGCCACCTGCAACCAACGTGACTCAGCGATTCTCCATCTGGTAATTATCATGGGTTCAATTGGGCAGGTTAAATTGACTTAAATTTTTAAAATACTTCTATTCTATCCTATCAACCCACAGACATCCACTGCTGGACATAGGTTTCCCCCAAGCCTCGCCACAAAGATCGGTCCTGCGCTGTCTGCATCCTATCTTCAATATTTTCTTCGATCGTAAACTATATTATCTTTACTGTTTCATTTTGCCCTTTCTAAGTAATATAAATTTTCATTTTCAACGTTTCGAATACTTCAGGTTTTTATCTTTTTTTTTTTTTTTGNAACCCACAGACATCCACTGCTGGACATAGGTTTCCCCCAAGCCTCGCCACAAAGATCGGTCCTGCGCTGTCTGCATCCTATCTTCAATATTTTCTTCGATCGTAAACTATATTATCTTTACTGTTTCATTTTGCCCTTTCTAAGTAATATAAATTTTCATTTTCAACGTTTCGAATACTTCAGGTTTTTATCTTTTTTTTTTTTTTTTGCTACAGCCCACCTGGTTTTAAGTGGTTACTGGAGCCCATAGACATCCACAACGTGAATGCGCCACCCTCCTTGAGAATAAGTTCTAAGGTCTCAAGATAGTTACAACGGCTGCCCCACCCTTCAAACCGAAACGCATTACTGCTTCACGGCAGAAATAGGCAGAGTGGTGGTACCCACCCGCGCGGACTCGCAAGAGGTCCTACCACCAGTCAAAAACCGTGGTCACGGACTATTCAAACGTTGGCAATAATACTAAAAGAGAAGCGAGATAAAATAAATAAGGTTTGACTGTGACCTTTTGAAGTTATTATTTTACTAAATCATTTCGGCGCAGTAAATGGTTTAAATTAACGAGTCACATAATGGGTCTATAAGATAACGCTATTTTCGGTAGACAGTAGAGAAAAATGTCATTAAAGTGATTTCCAGCGTTGTTCAGATTTACCGTTAGCAGAGCAGTGCGTATATCATTAAAATGCAAATTCAAAGATTCAAGCGCGACACCATTACCAGCTCAATCTTCAATTATTAAATGCATACACATTGTTAAGCTTATGAAAAGTGACGCGAAATGAAATGAAGTTGATTAATTTGTGTCTTTATGTAATCAAATGGCATTAAATTAAATGAAACGCGATGAGATGGTATGAAATAAAGTCTCAGTACGAATGAAACGCGATGAGATGGTATGAAATAAAGTCTCAGTACGATAGTTGTTATTTAGACTGTTTCAGTGGACAGCGTTTAATACCTGTAAAAGTGCAGAAATGTGAGAAAAGAAACGAAGCTGCTGGACGTAGCTTCTCGGAATCTTCCAAAAAGTCCACTGAAAAAGCCTCAGTAAATAACCACCATTTTACTGAGATTCTTGTACATCCCATATCATTTCGTGTCAACTGATTAATGTTTCAAATCAATCAACTTCGTTTCATTTCATTCCATATTATCCTTTTTTTGATATGAAAAAAAATTAAAAGATTAGGCTGTATGGTACCAACCTTTGCTTTTCTAGTTGGAAAAATAGAACTACTGCTACAATAGCTGTCATTTGTCGTCTTTGTCAATCACACTTTCCAATTCCATTGTTAAACGTTTTATTTACGTTGTTAGATTGAAACATTTCTTCAAATCCAAATAGTAAAAAATACAAAATTGGGAATTATTAAAACATTCCTAAAAGTGCATATGTAATAGAACCGAAAAAATAATTATAAATAAATATGGTTTGTGTTCCATGTTTCATTATACCACTACTTTTGTTTTTATGGCATCGATTTGTGCAGCCGTATATTTTACGCTTCTGGAATCCATGGGCTGTAAAAGACAAGGACGGCAACGTAATGAAAACCGAATTCCCATTTCAATGTAAAGAAGGCGTTTGTGTTTTTGCACGAAACAAGAATACAGAAAATTCAACAAGCAACGAAGCTGATCAATCTGAAGACCAAAAAACGAAATAAAAAGAAAACAACACTCCAAGGCCTACTTGTTTTGAGTAGTAATTTAATGTTTCAGAAACTAATTAGGAAATAATGGCTTATGGTATAAACATTTTGAAGCTACAATTCCATGATTCCATATTTTTCAATTATAGTGTTAGTTTCAATTAAAGTTTAATTACATATTTCAATGATTTCTTTTTACTAATATAATCAGTATTCATAATAGTTGGATTTCAGAAAATTCAATATAGGTAACTAAATGAGAAGTTTCATTACAATTGATCAAATCTTATGAGACAGCGGCTTTGAGAAGGTTTGTTGATTCTCAAGCAGTTAACATTTCCGTATTTTTGACTCTTATGGCAGATATAAACAATGTGGTGTGGTTTTAGAAATTTTATTTTATTTTATTAGGATAATATAAGGGTATATTTCTACATATACGCTTATATTGCCAATTACTGTTTAGAAACAAATAAGAATGCAGTATATGAATTCAAAAGCATGGGTGTTGGCAAATTTCAATATATTTAAAGTTATAAAAGGAAAACAAAGCAAAATATTTTCCAAATGGATAGTTATTTGCCCTCACAGGATTTAAAAAATCTTTATTTTAATTATATTATTCATCCTTGATGTAAATAAAATACTTATTATGAAGTCTTACATTTTATTTGATTTGCAAATACAAAAAAAAAACAAATTTGTATAGTTTACTTAATGTTCAACACCTAACGGAATGTACTACAGAACAATGTGGTTGATGTTGTTAGTAGTATTAAACTAAGGACACTGAGTACACTACACAAATTTGGTAACACCTGTATGAAAACTTAAGATAGCATCAAGCTGTTATTAAAATATATTTGGAGAAATAAAAACCTATTGAAATACATATTTTCAACATTTTACTACTGATATCACAATAAAAATAGAACCATAACTAGAAAGTATGTATTTGAAAATAATGAGTTGTCATATAGTCCAATGAAGCTTACCAGCTAATCTTAATGTGAATTTAACATTAACACCAATCATGTAATTATAACAGTCCTCCCGAGAAGTCTCTAAATGACAAATAGGTTATATTGTCCATCAGAGGAGAAAAAGTTATTAATCATAATTTTTTTTACAATTTTGTACTCTTATCTGTGACAAATGAAATACAAGTGGCAATATCAACTTCAGATTGGCAAACATACATGTTTCATTCATACAATGGCAATCAAATGATCAAATTATCTGTTACTTAAAACTAGTGTTCACTTAACATTCTTCAATTCAACTTCAAATACTAAGGTGGAGTTAGGTGGAATAACTGGAGGAGAGCCTTTTGCACCATACCTGTTAAAAAAATTATATAAATTAGTCACAAATTAATATTTCTTTTTGTCATTTTTTGTTACTGAAAATTAAAAAAAAATACATTATTTAAATTTTCTTGATCATATTGATGATAGGTACAAAACAAATACAAATTTTATACATATCGGACAGATAGTCTTATAATACATTGGTCTTAGGGACTATAATGGTTTAATAATATATCAAACAAAGGAAAGTATGGTAGATATATAATGTGTATATAATGTACCATGTATAAGTATGTATATGTATTCATAATATCAACAAGATGTATCTGAAACATTTGCTTTTCTTAAATAATTAAATGTGTTGATTTGTATCTGTACATTGAATTCATAGCCTACATAGTATTGAGCAGTCTTAATGCACCACAATTTCAATGCCATCCACCTACCTGTGACAATCTGATATTGATGTCTCAAAAGATATTTTTATTGTGGCAATACTACTTCACTGTTCTTTTCATTTCAAACAAATTATGTTAATTAATTACTGGGTGGAAGAAGCATTTGTAAATATTGTTTAAAGCATATTATATTCGCATATGTAGTTAAGTATACTTACGCCATGCCGGGAGGGCAGATAATCTTCCTTTTGCCTCCGACTTTCATACCAGAAACACCAACATCCCAGCCGCTAATGACCTCTTTTGCGCCAAGACGGAACTTGAATCCAGGTCCCTTGAGGCAGTTGTCAAACATTTTGTTGTTTTGTTTAAGGCGACCTTCATAGTAGACCTATTAAATACAAAAAAATATATTGAAACTACTTATGTGCATTATTATATGAAATCTTATCTGTCAGCTATTATTATCACAATAGAATCCATGAAAACAAACTATAAGTCTTGATATTGATTATACATTTGAGGAGTTACAATAAGACACATAATTTAAATGATCATTGTACTTGTAACATATCTAATAATTTTTTATATAAAAGTTGGAAATGTACTTGTCAATTTATTGTTGAAGCATCTTTATCTTTATACAGACAATGGAACACGGTAGCAGCGAAAACATTATTGACATTATCAATACATTTATTATATTATTTTAAGTATTATTAATTTTATATATTACTGTTTAAGATCAATTTCGAAGTTGTGTCTCTTGAAAATAAAATTACCTAGTTCTCAGTTTAAATACACTATTTTATAATTGTGTTTACAAAATTATGCTTGATGTTGAATAAAAGTCACACTTATTGACTATAGCAACGATTTAGGCCTGTCTAAAGTGTGAGGAGAGAGTGAATCAATACTAGCATTTGTCAAAGGTTAGACAAATAGTAATACAATTAATGTATAACTAGCTGACCCGGCAGACTTCGTAGTGCCTCAATCGATAAATAAAAAACGTAACTTTTGTATAAAGTTAATGAATCCATCCGACGGGGGACACATCAAAGGAAAAACAAAATTGTTATTTTTATTTAATTCTGAGCATTTTCATATTTGTCTACCTTTTAAACCTTCCCTGGACTTCCACATATAATTCAAGACCAAAATTAGCCAAATTGGTCCAGCCCTTCTCGAGTTTTAGTGAGACTAACAAACAGCATTTCATTTTTATATATATAGATATAATGAAGTTATGAAATTTCACCTACCATGACAACTTTGCCTGGCTTAGCAACAGGACCATTACCAAGTTTCAGGTCCTCAATTTGTACTCCACCACTGAGAGCTTTCTTCTCCTTTTTTTCAGTTGGACCATCCTCATTTTCTTTTTTAGCTGCAGCCTTTTTCTTTTCAGTTTTTTGTGGTTCTGCTTTCTCTTTCTAAAAATAAAAGAACAGAGATACATTCTATTATTTTATTGAATAGATAAACTAGTTATTGTAGCTTGAGCTATGTCCGACGTAGCAACAGGACAAACATACATTTAGACCAGCACTTAGTGATATTCTTGCTTCTTCTAGTGCCAACCCAAGCAGGGTTCAAGGAATTTGCTGAGTTTATTACCAATTTTCCAGTGGTGAAACATTATTCTAAATTTGTTGTGAAAGAGCATTTTACTTAATGGTGAAGTCATGATCATTAAAAGCCCAACTGTGAAGGTCTACTTAATAAATGCTTTGTAATTTGAATTCCTTGTCCCATATTAAGTCTTACTTAAACTTCCAACTAAAATCAGTATCTTATATTTGGCATTTGACACTTGATTGTTTTGTAACATGCCAATTTTGTAAAATTTGAAATTACTAAATAATAAAATAAACAGAATTTAATGTATTAAATCAAATACCTTGGGTTTGTCAACACCATTCACCTGTCCTTGGGCTTTTTCTTGTTGCTTTTGTTTCTTCTTGAGTCTCCGTTTCTGTGACTTGGTAAGCTTGGAAGCATCAACTTTGGATTCTTCCTTACTTGTATCCAAAGTGGTTTCAGCCTCCTCAGACTCTTCATCTTTATCATCATCATCACCTTCTTCTTCATCAGAATCCTCTTCATCTCTATTAAATTTTTTAAGACATTTAAATTTAGGAATATACTACATGTTTAGTTTTAGTGCATACTCTGAAATGTTTAAATTAAAATGTTTTTGGGAACAAGATAATATTTGTACCAATGACTACATGCTTCCTTCTTTATCTTCTATTACTTATGAAGACGCTAGCACTACAGGTGCTGAACAGAATCTGATTAAGTTAGCATATAGTATGTTTATCAGTACTCACTCATCATCACTAGCATCACCAGAAGTATTCATTTTGAATGAGTCATCATTTTCATCTGTGTCAATATCTTCACCATCCAACAATTTCTGAAGTTGATCTTCCTCATCATCATCATCATCATCATCTGAGCTCTCAGCTGCAGCTGTTTTTTTTGCAGCTTTTTTATCTGGCTGCAAGTTTTTGAAATTATATGCATGGAAACAATTAAAAGAGCATACAGATACATAGCACCTGATACAAAAATTTGACTATTGTCTCATCAAAAATTCACTAACTACTGCGAGCATTGGCAGATTGCCTTTTATTATTAAACAAATCAAAAAGCCAATAACAAAAGTTGTTTTAACCAAAAGCATCACTTGACAACTAGCAGTTCATCAATATGTTATTTGGGCTATTACGTAAACTGTATTTGACGGGATTAACGAAAATTTACAATGGAATTTATTCCAAAGCCACATTTATGACAAAAAGCATAAACAGAAATAAATAATTGTAATGATTTTAAGAAATGTGCTTGTATTTTTTTATGTTTAAATGGTAAATGTTATATGAAAATACTAAGGAAATGATATCGTTTCAAATATTCGTTTGTATTATTGTACGGTACCTTGGCTTTCTTACTGGCAGTAGCATTAGTATTGTTTTCAAGTTTCCTTTTGTTGTTGATAGGTGCTGAAGTTTCTTCCTCTTCTTCTTCAACCTCTTCCTCATCCTCTGACTGCTCATCCTCAAACTCAGGGTCCAAGTATCCAGTTAGATGTACANTACTAAGGAAATGATATCGTTTCAAATATTCGTTTGTATTATTGTACGGTACCTTGGCTTTCTTACTGGCAGTAGCATTAGTATTGTTTTCAAGTTTCCTTTTGTTGTTGATAGGTGCTGAAGTTTCTTCCTCTTCTTCTTCAACCTCTTCCTCATCCTCTGACTGCTCATCCTCAAACTCAGGGTCCAAGTATCCAGTTAGATGTACATTACATTTACCTGATATCATTAAACTATGTTTAATTCACATGTAGTTTATGTCATACTTGAATATCAAAAAGATAACTTAACCTGTTAACCAAGCAGGGTGTATAAATACATCAAACATAATCAATAAAATGAATATATGAATATGTCCTTAAAATGGGCAGGATGTATAGTTTTACAACAAAGGTATTAATCATCAATACATTTTGAAACATGCCAAAACATGAATTTAAGATTCATGGAGGAAATCAGTATCATTTTGCTGTTGAGAATTGTACTGGCACATCCTAGTGAAAGATCTTGCACCCATTATATAGTACGTAATTAAAAAGGCAATTCCCCGATAATAGGTTAATCTATCATCTTACTATAAATTTTGTTTAATTTACCATTAGTCAAAAAGGCAATAGAGTCTCCTGTTTTGAAATACAAGTCAAGTGGAACTTGAATGCATTTGTTTTTCTGGAGAGTGCACACGAGAAAGTTCTTTCCATCAACAACAACCATCACTTGACATGGCTCATTATCACCAGTTGATGTGTCCATAGCAGCCTGTGAAATGTGGAACGGCTTCTCCACCACTTGGGTGTACCGTTTGTTGGGTTCCATTATTAATCCTGAAGAATAAAAAAAAGTTA